ATTGTATAATTAATAATAAAATAGGAAAACGATAACGATATTAGATTGAAACATGAAAATATTGAAATTACTTATTTGAAAAATAACTTGGACACGTCACTGAATAATCATATCAACAAACGGATTGCAACGAAATCCGAAATCATATGTTAGTGGTTGACGTGCCGACTAATGACATGAGTGACATCTCCTTGTACATTTTATCTACTTTTTCCCTTAAATTTATGCTTCCAGTGGCAACTGTTTCAGGGCTTCAGCAGACTTCAGACTTTCAGATAGGAATAGGTGCGTAAAAAATGATTTATTTACGCACAAACAACGTATTCTTTTACATCTACGTCCGGAGTTTTTTCAGATTAGAAAAGCTTTATTAACGCGGTGTTCCAACATATTCTATGCATAACTCTAATGTGTTATTCTGTTATTTACACGGATTCAAAAATGCATCGTTTTTTATTTTAAAAATTGCTGGGTAGGCACTGTAGGCAGTATGTATATGACTATAATCATGACAAAGAGGACAGATATCTCTGACAGAACAGGCCCACAGGACCAAAGAGTAAAAAAATAGAAAATGGAAAAGTGACATGAAAGTGACGTGTTGATATGAAAATATGAAAACTCGAGATGAAAACAATTTATTATTTTATGACGAAAAGTTTTCCTTGAAAATCATTTAAATATTTGTATGTGAAGAACTTCCAATACATACACACAAACACAGCAAACAAATGACAAAATGAATCGGATTGAATAAGAGACAGAAGGCATTATAGAAATCATATTTGATTTATGAATTCTTTTATCGCTGTAGGTGAGGATTTTCTGTGAACTGTCCTTACCATTACATGCAATTGTGTAATAACAAAACGATCTTATCCAGATAAATCTATCTAATCATTTTAATTAAATAAAAATGTTTAGTCATAAATAAACAGCACAGAACCTGATTTACTACGTTAGAAAAATAATTCACAATCATCTAGTAATCTAATCATTTTTTCAAGGATAAAAAATTAAAACATTGTGCAAGTATTGAAGTAGTGCACCAAATAAAAGGGTGCGACGTGTACAACAGATTCAAGAACAATGAGTAATAGCGAACTAAGGCGAAGGAAAGTAAGTGTGCGGCCTACTTTATATTTTTTAACTATCCTTAAACAATAGAAAGCAATTATAATTTTTAATGTTGTATGTTCTAAATATTTGTTAAATGTATAATTTTCATTTGAAGTTAAAAGAACCTAGCGAAAGAGGGAATGCAAGAAAACGGAAAGCGAAAGGGGTTCGTTCGAGTTCAATCCAGACTTCATTACTATGTTTAATCATAAGTGGAACATTGTTAACCCTGTTTCTAGGTATAAATTTTATTATTGTACATAATTTCAAGTGGTAATTATTATATTTTCAATTTTTAGTTCTATATACAGACCAAATTCCATGGTATGCTGGAAATCGGCATAATTGGACCAATTAGCAAAGCAATTTTTAGGATATCATAAGCCAGTATATGCAGTAGTTATAGATGCAGGAAGTACAGGCTCGAGGGTATTAGCATACACACATTCCATGAATCATATTTAGGTAACATTCATTTTTGAACTGAAACTCGCAATGTAGCCCCTATCTTTCCATGATATTTTGACGACGTTTTCGTGCACTATGAAACCCTATCATCATTGACGAAATTTGGTATATACAGGGTGGTCGAACTGTATTTGTAATTATTAAGTAATTAAAACTAATTCCAGCTACTTAAATATCAAATTACCTAATAAAACTAAAGCAATAATTCAAAACAATTCAAACATAACCTAAAATAAAGATCTCCGGCCGGCTCAAGTTGTCAAATACCCGCACATGCCCATTTAAGCAATTTTTAAACGTTATCAGAAGTTATTTAGAAGAGCGCTTGGTGTAATTGATCCGCAAATTACGTCAGGCGGTAACGCTATTAGCGGGTGTTGCGTTAAAAATTGACTCGCGCATATCGTAACCATGATAAGGTACGCGTAAATACTGGATGACGCTATTCGGTTTTCCGATATCTCTCTAATAACTGTGCCGGTCAGGCGCTGTGCACAATTTTAGAGGCCATAAGTGGGCGTGCTATGTGCGCAAACTAGTCACCTAACTAGTGCCCGATTTCGAAAGTTGGAACCACGAAAAACAATAAAAAAAAACAAAGATTATAATCTGTATAATCTGTGCTACAGCAGTGGCACTTTACAAAAAAAATAGAATTCAGTTTTTTTATTATTTTTCATATTTCAATAAAAGTTTCAGTTTGTGCTACATTTTTGCTTATTTTCTGTAGGTGGGTATTTGGTACTGGACAAAGAATTGTTTGAATATAACAAGCCCGGACTTTCATCTTTTGCCAAAGAGCCCCAAAAGGTATAAACGTATTTTTACATAAAGTTACCTAAAACTGTATTAACAAGTGATATGTTTAGGGTGTGGAAAAAATTGCGGATCTTTTAGAAAAGGCAAAAAAAGAAATACCCAAAGAGTATTGGAACCAAACTCCGCTGATTCTAAAAGCCACGGCAGGTTTAAGACTGTTGCCTGCCGAACAAGCCGACAACTTGCTAGATGCAGTAAGAAATCTGTTTAAAAAAACACCGTTTTTAACCAACGACAAATCCATCGAAATAATGGATGGAACAGACGAAGGAATATTTTCTTGGTTTACAGTAAACTTCCTTCTTAGTAAGTACAGGGTGTCCCAGAAATAAGTGCAAATATTTTAACTGGAAGTATAATTCAACCCCAGAAACACGCCTATGAGGTTTTTTTTGCAAAAAAAAAAAAATGTTGAAAATTTAAAATTTTTCTTGACATTTTCCGGGAAATTTGAAAAAACTTTTTAGTGCCACTTGTTTATTCACCTGAGATTTCCCTACGGTCTATCTAAACCTCGCAGTGTTGCAACTTCCTATGTTATCCACATTCTACATAGTTCTACATTTATAAATTCATAGACAAATTTCTACTCAAAAAATTAGGAATGTTAAATTTAATCTTTTATCAGTGCTCATTATTAATAATTATAGAAAAAAAAACACATTAATTATTTTTAGTACTTACCCTTTCATGAAAACTTTCAACAAAAACCACCTAAAATTAACTAAAACATTACGTTTATGACGGTCACGAAAATCTTTGTTGCGCTGCAAAATAACTTTATGTTACGTTACTCTTCTTCTTCTCTGTTTTATTTCAACCACTGATTTACAAAACACCTTGAAAAGCGCACATTACTTTGAATACCTTTCTGAATGAATAAATGTTGAGAATTATTGTCTCTTATCGCCACTTTACGAACTACTTTCAGTCTAAGAAAATACATGTTTCACTCAACAATTTTAAATACGTATTTTATTTTTTCGCTATTTTTTCGACGTATTTCGACAATTCATCGACAGCCCAACCGTCGCACGTCGGCCAAGAGTGCCGCGGTGAACTGGTCCTTTGAGATGCCGCGCCGTCGTGGCGGGCTTGCGTCAACGATGAAGTTAAGCAACGTTGCCGTAGTTACAACAATTTCAAATTCAAGACATTCGAAGCAATCAAATTCGTATTAAATTTTAAAAATAAAACAAAGAAACATGAAAGGAAACAAACAAAACAAAAAGGAATTGATTGTCGGGCTGTTTTCGATATATTGAATTCTGAATTACGATAAACATTTTAGAAATTTCTTTTTTGTGACCTTATCAATAATCAATTAATTTGTGTTTTGTTTGTTTCCTTTCATGTTTTTCTGTTTTATTTTTAAAATTTAATAAGAATTTGATTGCTTCGAGTGTCTTGAATTTGAAATTGTTGAAACTACGGCAACCTCGCATGACGCAAGCTCGACACGGCGGCGCGACAAAGGACTTCAAAGGAGCAGTTAGGACGTTAGCAGTGATGCGCGGCTCTCTTGGCCGACGGTTGTGCTGTAGATGGATTTGTCGAAATACATCGAAAAAATAGCGAAAAAACAAAATACGTATTTAAAATTGTTGAGTGAAACATGTATTTTCTTAGATTGAAAGTAGTTCGGAAGTGACAATAGTGGCGGTAAGAGACAATAATTCTCAACATTTATTCATTCAGAAAGGTATTCAAAGTAATATGTGCTTTTCAAGGTGTTTCGTAAATCAGTGGTTCAAATTGTGATGAAGCCTATATGAAAATAATGTTTTAAAAATGGGGACTGTTATTTTAGCAGTTATTATAATAAGATGTACAAGTAAAGCAGCACAGTAAAGTGTATTTTAGTTAAGTGTGTATCGAAAAAGAGAACTGTCACAGTTACATCGATCTGTCATAAGTATCTTTTTTAATGTTGGGTAAGTTTTTTAATTTAACTTTTTTAACTTTTAAACATTTAATTTTTAATTTATTTTTTGTAATAATATCACAATCTTAAAAATGTAATGCATCTCTGCAAACTCCTCAGGTGTTGTGATTTTATGACTTACTTTTAAACATATACTTTCTTGTCCATATGGCAACACAGTGCGTCGAATTAACTGAAATCCGGGCTTGATCCGGGTAATTGGATGTAGCTGGCGATATCTGCCGGCGGTTCTCAAAATGTTGCGATTATTTTTTTAAATCTTCAAAGTTAAATAACTCGGTTATTTTCAGTTTATTTTAAAAATGGTAAAGAGAAAATATGTTTATTTTGACCAGATCTACCACCCCTTAAAATATTTGCACTCATTTCTGAGACACCCTGTATAGTAATATTGAGTTCTAGGTAGCCGAATATTTATAATTGGACTTTTTTAAATTTTATTTTTACTTTTTTATAGACAAAATAAATTTAAATCCAGCCCAAACTGTGGCGGCCTTGGATTTGGGAGGCGGGTCGACTCAGGTGACGTTTTCGGCTGTCACTCCGTCTAGTTTTAAAGATAAAGAAAATATACACGAAGCGTTGGCCCCTAGCGGCCCTATACCCGTATTTACTCACAGTTATCTAGGATTGGGACTGATGGCGGCTAGGAAAGCTGTGATATCCTATCAAAATGCCGATACGTTTAATGTAACCTGTGAATGTGTGAATCCCGTCGTTCGTAATAAGAAGTTTCATTATCATGGTAAGCTATGCCATCTATTTTTTCGATATTTAAACATACCGCAATGTACGATTATAATGTGCACTGACTATTTTCGGCCCAGGTTGTTTAAATAATTGCGAGATAAAACTTTTGAAACGTTTTGTCTGGGTCTCAACCTGAAACCAAAAATTACAAAAATGCTGAATAATCGTGGAATCTGAAAATCAAACTAATGACAATATTCTTCTCTTTATGACTAAAAAAAGAATAGGCACATTCGGTGAAAAACAATTTATTACTCCGATTTGCTCCGATTTATCAACATATTTTAGTTATCTCCTTCTAGAACTAAAAAATAGAAAAAAAAAAAAAAAAAAAAAAAAAAAAAAAAAAAAAAAAAAAAAAAAAAAAAAGTTGAAAACTTTTTTTTGACCGCCTAAACGCTATGGGCGTCTGGGATGCGCGGTAACAAAATAAACTTGTCTACGAAATGCCCTATTCCATAAGCCCTCTCACTTTAGTTATTAGTTTCCTGCGGGGTTTGGAATTTCTGCTGTGATTTATCACAGGGCTTTACAATATTCACTGATGACCTCACAGTTGCAAAAACGTTGCAACAATTTAAAATACTGGCCAATGTGGCAAAGCATAAAGAACGACGCAAATTCCTAACTAAGGGTGCCAATGTCAACTGGATAGGGCTTAGGGATATGGATGCATACCAGGAACAGATTATGAAAGACCTGCTGGTTAAAAATACGTTGGAAGAATATGATATAGACAAAATTAATGGAAATTTCGTCCATGGACTAAAAAATGCCCAAGAACAGCATTGCAAGAGGACAAGAGGAGAGTAAAAGACCCAGAAAAGTTCAGTACAGGAATAACAAATTAAGAACAACAGAGCACCGGGAGACGTCAGAGTAGTGATAGAGGCGATTAAGGAATATAAAAGGTAAGTTTTCTACGATGTTCTCTATGGGTACCTCATAGAGAACATCGTAGAAAACTCACCCTGTATCTCTTGCAGTTTCTTAGCAGACTCTTCACAGAGCACCTGTTTCGAGGACCGCCATAGGCATTCCATGTCAATCTTAAAATTTACATGTGCAAAATTAAACGCATATATACGTTTTCATGTATTTTTTATAGTCTTATTTACTTATTTTTTAACATTAATTTTTAATAATATATTTATAGATTTACTTTATTGGTTTTATAGATATACCTATAATATGTTTTATTATTATTTCTTAATTTATTACTCTCGTATAATAAAATTACTTCTTTAAGGTTTCAATTTTTGTGAAAATAAATATTTTAAATACCTACAAAATGGAACCAAAAATATAATAAAAACCCCTTCCGAATAATTAAGTGGTAATAATAGATATTAAAGGAATTTTGAATTTTCCGCCAAGTATTAACGACATAAAGTGGACAATTTGGCAACGTTGGTATCACCTGGGCGATTTATCCTCTCGTATACATCACTACTACTACTATTCCAAAGGGCATCACAGTTTAAGTTGAGTTCATCCTTTTATCCTTATTTTATTGCCTGTTTTTGCTAAAAAAAATTGATTTAAATTTCATTCAAAAAAATTACAAAAAAGTGAAATTTTTTCCACATAGTTACATAGAATTATGAAAAAGAACCATAGTTTTCCCAAAATAAAAATAAGTAAATTTTATTTAAAGATGATTTTAAGAATATTCAGTTTAAAAGTTCCTAGTACGAATAGTAAATATTTTTGTACTAAAGTGCAGTTTGGACTGTATTTGCCTTTTTTAAGTATCTACAAGGCTATGATAGTATTGAAAACTATTCTATTTTTCTTGCAGTACAGGATAATTTGCTTTACATTGTGCGTAATAATAATGACTCTCACCATAGCATATGAATTATTCAACATTGGACAAGCTTTGGAGGATCAGGTATAACAATTTCACTAATTGTTAGTACATAAACACATGATTTGCAAAATATCTTTGTTAGATCACATAATGCGGGACCAGCGGATCTGCCAGCGGAAGGGGTGGTAGATCTGGCCAAAAGAAACATTTTTTCTCTTTACCGTTTTTCAAATAAGTCCAAAATAACAGAGTTATTTTACTTTGAGAATTTCCAAAAAAAAATGATTTTTTGCTAAAATTTTGAGAACCACTGGATCTTGTCTTTTCTGGATTTTCTTTCATGTAAATTTAAGTTACTACCTATGACTAAAAACAAATATTTAATACTTTACTATCAGAATATAAACGAAAATAAAATAAAAGTCTTTGCCCTGACCCGGATTCGAATTCTGAATCATTGGTTCGTGGTCGGAAACTCTACGCACTACGCTATGGAGACATGTTCGATTTATATTCAATACTAGAATTTAAAGGACTAACAAGGAGGATCTTCTTTCAATGCGCAGTAGGGACGGCAGCCAGACGGGCCGCATGCTGTTCTAGAGAGCATAGTAAAAGATATATCAAAGAGCCAGACGTCTTAAAATACTAGTTTTCCGACGTTGCCAGCTCTCGTACTACAACGTTTACTTCATGATAAACTTTCTTAAATATCCCCACTGAAAGAAAAATGGTAGACATTAGCAATGAGAAACGCGCATACAAAAAAAAACACAATTTAATTTATACCACTAGCAACTTCCTGAACACACACTATCTAAACATTTAGTTAGTAAATAATATAAGTTTTAGTTTGAGGAAATACATAACGCTCTGCTCAACGTCCCATGGTACTATTGGAATACGCAAAATAAAAGATCTTATATGCTAATTTTAACAAAAACACGAATTACAACAAGCATAATTGCAGGAATTAATACAAGATGTAATAGAGCATCATTTCTAAAGGTAAAAGTAAAATAATTTTTTATTATAATTCTTCACATTAATTTAAATTGATTTCTAAAATATATTTTTTTTTTCAGTTTGCAAGATTTTTCTATGCGATTTTAAATTTCTTGTACCTATAAAACGAACTTAAATATTATAGCAACGGATCGATACCAATAATTTTAGGCGTTGATGTTGATTATTGAACCTTTTTTTTGTAATATACAGTAACTTTTGGTTTTTGGGCTTTTATTTTTACCAAGAGAAACAAATTCACGAAAATATATATTTTTTCACTCAGTAGTTTTATACAGGTACGGACGAAAAGCTACTATTCTTCAAAACAGTTAAAACACATGTATAATAGATGGTGCCCCTTACAAATAGGAGTCATATTGACAACAAAATCAAACATGTCATGTCAAAAAACTTCCATCCAAATATTGACGTTACTTCAAAAATTATTTGGAAAAAATCGAAATAAAAATGAAACTTCTATGCCCTGTATCTCCAAAAATAACCATTTTAGGACATACATTTATACTTTATACAAACTTTTTTACTTATTTTTATCTGCAAAATATGCTGCTGAAGTTGCCGGAATACAGTTCGGATCACCCTGTATGATAACTTTACTTACACGGTACATTGTTATTTTTGACTTATCGCGTAATACTAAAGTTAAGTAAATAATTTCTATATGTACCTTTGTGGCGGGTTCATTTCTTGAAAAATGTCTATGTAAGAGAAATTTGCAAATTAATTCTTTATTTAACGTTTGAATTCATGTAGTCTCATTTTAACAGAACGTCAATGCTTTTTATAGACTTTTTAAACAATGCTTTTGACGATAAGTTTATAATCTGTATGATCTAGAGGTGGGAATTCTAGTTCCTTAGTTCTAGTTCCTCCAGAGGAATAGTTTCTTGAACTAGGTCTTTGGTTCACAATAGTTCCCGATTAACATTGACATCCCCCTTGCTTGCTAATGCGTTTCGTTATCAGTCAGAACTATTCACAGTATGATCTGTATAATTTTTATAATGTACGGAGATATAACGAGAAGTGTAATTGAGTATGTTAAAAACATATAGGTAAGTTTTATTGCAGATAAAAAAAATAAAAAAGAAACTCAAATCAGAGTTTCAAAAACTATTTCACAAATCAATTGGAGCAAATATTACAAAAATTTTACGAAAAATTGCTTTTTTCCTCACTTCAAGCTTTTTGTTTTTCTCTAAAAATTCAGAATATCTACTTCGTTTTATAAGATATTTCTTAATTTTAGGGACCTAAAGTGAAACATTCCCATAAAATATTTAAAAAACAAACTAAAAATCAAAAACAGTATCAACGACGCCGCGCCGGCTGTGGCAATAGACAAGGCCGAATCCATCGTCGTCGCCTTGTATTACATCTCGGATCTGCCGACTGAATCGATTCCCGTGAACTAGTCTTTTAATTAGTTCCTCTATGTCCGGATCCGATACGTAAACTAGTCTTTTATTTAGTTCCATAGAAAACAAGATTCAAGATTTAGTTCCTCTAGGTCCGGATCCGATAACGTACGGCTGGCACTCCCCACTCCTGCCTACCATCGGGCTACGCGCGCTGGCCGATCCGTCGCCATCGCATATTATTATATATCGGTCACAGTCTCGATCCCGGAATAGGTCCTGAGGAACTAGTTCTTTGAGAAACCAGGAACTAGTTCCTTTCATTCCGGGGTCGGAATAGTTCATTGGAACTAGTTCGTTCACGAACTACAAACCTCTACAAGGAACAGCGGCCAAGAAAAGACCGGAACATTCTAGTCCCTCTGTCTTTGGGTATATAAACCGAGGCTTGTGCAAAGAAGACTTTTGAAGAATTCCTTTTAGATAAATAGTTGTAAATAAGTTTGAAAATAGTTTTTAAGTGTTTCATCGTTATTTTTTGTTACTTCGTGTAAAATAAATTGTGTTTAAATAAACCAGACTTTTTGTCCACACGGAACCGACGAAAAAACGTAACAAAATGATTCGAAAAATTCTGCCGATTTACAAAGAAAATCGAAAGTATTGCCAAAATTCATAATTTTATTTATTAGTAATAAACGTAACTTTTACTAAAATATACATAAACGTATAATCCAAATTTATAAATATAAAATACTTTTAAACTACAGCAAAATATTTAATATCACCATTTAACTAATGTCCAGTGTTTAATCAAATAATTCCCTGTCATTTTTGTTTTATGATAAACGAATATATTATTATACTAGAGATAAATAAAAATAAATAAAGATATTTTAAGTTATCTAATGTGAATTAATACTATATTGGAACAGTGCCGTTAATATTTAAATCCGCCAATCTTTTTAAAAGTTCTTCCGGTAGTTTCGTCCTCTTGACAGCTATTTCATCCCTGGTCAGCACATTCCTCAATTTAACAATGCCCTCTTTAATTTCCGATTGTCCGAGAATTATCGCGAACGGAATACTATTCTCTTCACAATATTGAAGTTGAGCGAGAAGCTTGGGATTTTTCTTGTATGAATATTCCACCTTAAAGTTATTTTCCCACAATTCATTACATAGTTTCAATCGTTCGTCGACGAGATCTTTTTGCGCTGTGCAAACATATACATCCACTTCTGTACTCCTCACTTTCCTACTGGCTGCATGTAATTTTTGTTCCATAACAGTAAATAATCTAAAATTACATTTCTTTGTGACTGGAAATAAAACATTTCTCCAAAAAAATCCTTTATAGGTATTTCGCCACTGCACTGCAAGAAAATCTACAAAATAAAATAGTTATTTTTTATAAACACTTCTGCGTTAACCCTAAACGGACACTGCTTGTCAGAAGTTATGTTTACAGTTATACAAATTTGCCTAACAAAGAAAAAAGAATGCTTAACGTTTCGGAAAGTTTATCTCTTTCCGTAGTCGGAAGCATTATTTCATTTTAACAGAACGTCAACGGTTTCTTGTAGACGTATCTGTTTTAAAAAAGTAAAGTGTTTTCGAATAGTTGAATTTAAAAATTTTAAATAGTTTTTTTCTTTATTCTTTGTATTTTTTTTGCTTCCGACGACGGAAAGAGATAAACTTTCCGAAACGTTAAGCATTTTTTTCTTTGTTAGGCAAATTTGTATAACTGTAAACATAACTTCTGACAAGCAGTGTCCGTTTAGGTTTAACGCAGAAGTGTTTACAAAAAATAACTATTTTATTTTGTAGATTTTCTTGCAGTGCAGTCTCACAACCTAACCTAACCCATAAAGGATTTTTTTGGAGAGATGAATCCGCCACATAGGTATAGACATTTTTTAAATAAAACATTGTGTAATGAAGTCCGTATGTTTTTTTTATTTAATCTGTAAATGCTAGGCGTGAACATAAATCGAACATGGCACGATAGCTCGGCGCGAAAGTATTTCGCTGGTACACCGAAGAGCCAGGGTTCGATCCTGCCTTGGGACATAACTTTTTTTATTTTTTTTTATCGTTAATATTCTGATTGTAAAATAGTTAGATTGTTTTTTTGATCATCAGAACGGATAACGTTTGAGGATTTATGAACCATACTGTATATGAGTAGGATTTGATATGTTCATTTGTTTTGAAGGATTATGGTAACAAATAATTCTTAGACAGACAAAATTTCCCTGCTCGGGCGCCAATTCTGTAACAGTCTTTTTTCTAGAGAGCTATTACTAACGCCCAGCAGTCGGTCTTTTGTCTCTAGCGCGCAACCCTCAAGATTTATAGTGTTTGAGAGACCACTTCCGCCAGTACGGGTAGCTTTTCTACAGTGAAAAATCCAGGGAAATGGGGTAAAAGCCAGTTAAAGTCGAATATATTTCATAACGAGATTTATTTAAATAAATTAAATATGTATCCAATATCTTCAAGTTCAAAGTACTCAAATTCAAATATAAAAAAATATTAAAACATGAAATATCGCAAAATCTAACAAAAATAAATTAAATCAGATCATCTAGTTATAGGTCAAATATCTATATACCAAAAGAAATTAAATCAGTTAATTACAATAGCAAATAATTAAGTTCACAGTATTTAAATTCAAACCTGTAAAGAAAATCTTTATAATATCCAATAAAATAGAAACTTTAATTAAATTCAGATACGTAAGAAATATTATTATGGTAGAATAAAATAGGAACTTTAATTAAATCCTCATCTGTAAAGAAATTTTATACCATAAAAATAAAATAGAAACTCTACTGTGCTGAAACTAAAATTTGTGATTACTAGAACTCTAATGGGGTATCTGGCGGTTAAATAAAAAGAAAGAATGCGATTAACGTTTTTTCTGAAGGAAATTGGCGTCGGAACAAAACGAATCGGTCTGGTTGTCTGAATCGCCTACAGCAGCCCGGAATCCGGTCACACTAATTATTCGCTGTTTGTATAAAAAAAAATAACTTCCACGTATCCATGCAAATCGACAAAATATTTAACACAATTTTATCAGCAAATAATTTTTAGCATTAAAAATATTTTTCGGTTTTAGACTATCATAACAGTTCTAAAAATAAAAATAAACCATACTAAGCCTGTCTAAGAATTATTTGTTACCATAATCCTTCAAAACAAATGAACATATCAAATTCTACTCATATACAGTATGGTTCATAAATCCACAAACGCTATCCGTTCTGGTGATCAAAAAAACAAATATCTAACTATTTTACAATCAGAATATGAACGATAAAAAAAAAAGTTATGTCCCAAGGCAGGATGGAACCCTGGCTCTTCGGTGTACCAGCGAAATACTTTCGCGCCTAGCTAACGTGCCGTGTTCGATTTGTGTTCACGCCTAGCATTTAATAGATTAAATAAAAAAATATACGGACTTCATTACAATTGTTATATATATTACCTCTCAACTCCTATAGAAACTCCAACACAAGGTACTTGTTTATTTTTGGTATCAAACATACCAACCAAATTATCATATCTGCCACCTCCTGCTACTGACCCTACTAAGACATCTTCACCTTTAGTACTATCTGAAATATAACAGATTATAGATATTATACACTATAAACACGTTCTTGTAGTATTATACCTCCCAGTAAAACAGCTTCATATATAACACCTGTATAATAATCTAAGCCTCTGGCTAAACTCAAATCGAACAAAACACGATCAGCCACATTAAATATGTTGCAATATTTTAAAAGTAATTTAATTGCCTCGAGGCCAGATGTTGCACATTTATTCTTAGATAATAGGTCATCATTTAACAGCTTATCAACAAGATCGGTGTTACCGTGTAGCTTAACATACTCGCCGATTTTATCCGCCACCTCTTCTGAAAGACCCTTCTCTTCAATCATTTCTTTTCTCACTTCATCCCAAGGGGACTAAAATTAATTTGTAAATTTAGGACGTCTTATAAATAAGTGCAAATACAGGGTGGGCCACTGAAAACTTACAATGGCTATAATTTTTAAACCAAAAGATATCAAAAAAATAAAAAATACCGTTTCTATAATATCGAGGGGGAATACATATGACGTATTTTTTGAACCACCCCGACCTACCCTTTAGGAGGCACCCCTACTCACTTGAAAATCTTAAATGGCAACACCCCACTTGTGGCGTCTTTTTGGAAAGCTCATGAAAAATGCTAAATGATGATCATAAAGTTTTTAGGGTGGAATTGAAAAACTACATTTCCACGAACAATTAGGTGGACATTAATGAAAAAGGTTATTTTTACAGCATAAGTAACAAATTGGGACCCAGCTAAATGAAGTATTTTTCAAACCACCCCTAGGTGGCACCCCCTCACTTCTAATCTCAAGATAGCGATACCCCACTTGTGACACTTCTTTGGACAGCTAATTGAAATTGCTAAACGATGGTCATACAGACTTCAACTTAATTACTGGTTAGTGACAAGAAATGTAGGTGTGACAATTTGAAAGAAATTTAAAATGATAATTTATTTTAATAATTGCTCACAATGACAGCCGTTTTGTTCTATACAAAAATACAAACGATTTTCAAATTCTTCTCTCACATTATGGAAAGTCTCTCTCGGAATATTTCGACATGCTTCAGTTCTCCTATGCCGCAATTCTTGCAACGAACCTGGTTTTGTCTTGTAGACTATGGTTTTAGTGTAACCCCACAAGGAAAAGTCCAAAGGAGTGAGATCAGGTGACCTTGGCGGCCACACGATTAGACCCCTACTGCCAATCCATTGCCTTGGATAATATTTATCCAACCACCGGCACCGCCTTGTGACAATAGAATAATACGAAGAGGCTCCATCTTGCTCAAAGTGTATGAGGTCTTCATTAAGAGTTATAATAAATTTCTTTTTAACAGCTTTTTTTTCTCGCAATGGTTCATGGATACAAAAATAATTCATTCTATTGATTTTGACACGTTTTGACATTTTTGTTTTATTTTTGGGCTCTATTTTTTTCGTTCTTTTTTATGACAGTCGTTCAGCATACGCTTTTCAAAGAGGTGTCACAAGTGGGGTATCGCTATCTTGAGGTTAGAAGTGAGGGGGTGGCACCTAGGGGAGGGTCGGGGTAATTTGAAAGAAAACTCATTTAGCTGGGTCCCAATTTGTAACTTATGCTGAAAAAATCACTTTTCTCATTAATGTCCACCTAATTTTTCGTGTAAGGGTAGTTTTTCAATTTCACCCTAAAAACTTAATGATCATCGTTTAGCATTTTTCATGGGCTTTCCAAAAAGGCGCCACAAGTGGGGTGTTGCCATTTAAGATTTTCAAGTGAGTAGGGGTGCCGCCTAAAGGATAGGTCGGGGTGGTTCAAAAAATACGTCATATGTATTCCCCCTCGATATTATAGAAACGGTATTTTTTATTTGTTTGATATCTTTTTTGGTTTAAAAATTATAGCCATTGTAAGTTTTCAATGGCCCACCCTATATTTTAGCTACAGTGCAAATTCTTTAATCTGAACATTCAATATTCAATGACAACCCCAACTGGGATTTGTTAAAAGCAAAAAAAAAATCCAAAAAATTTTTTTTTTTTTACTTGCACATATAGGGTGGCCCATCGAAAACGTTCCGCAAGGCATAACGGCCAGGGTAATTTTTTTTTCTGAAAATTCAAAAACACGTCAATTTTGTTTGTGAGGGGGACAACTTTTGCCCCAAAAATGATTGCAAAATCTTCAACCCTCTAAGCGGGGGTGTCATCCCCCAATTTTTTTCAAATGGAAAGGGGGGTCAAGTGGTACCGCAATGAAAAGGGCTTTCTATTCTCTATACTTTCCCGCTTCGTTTTTGAAAATCGGTCGGGTCATTGAGAAAATATCAAGGATTGAAATTTGAAAAGTTTATTTAAACATTTATCAGAGTAAATGATAAGGATAAATCCCTTCAACCAATTTGCTATTTTTTTCTTATTATTTCTAGATGTTTACGCATTTTTTCACTTGCCACAAGGTTGAACGATCAGGTGGGGTAGTTGCTAAATAGCTGTTCTGTGACTTGTGCGTTGAAGTTCTTCTCAATATCGTTAAACTTTTTAACAATTATGGTGTACTCACTTGCAGAAAAAGTGGAAATAATCGAACTAAATTTTAAAAACAATGAATGTGGTAATCGGGTTGCGCAGATATTCAATCAACACCATCCTGACAAACAGGTTTATGGCAAAATTGTGCGCGAGTTAGTAGCAAAAAACTGGTTTCGTTATGAATAAAAAGAGGCAGAGGGAAAATCCTGTAGTAAATGAAGCTATGGAGGTATTCATATTGGGCCAAGTTGTCATGGATAGTACGCTGAGTACAAGAAAATTAGTCAATGAGACCGGCGTGAATCGTACAAGTGTCCAAAGGATATTAAAAAACCACAACTTCCATCCGTACAAAATTCAGTTGGTACAAGAACTCAACGAAAACGATTTTGATCGTCGCTTGCAATTTTGTGAAACTATGAGTGAACGAGTGGCCAATGATAATAATTTCCTATTTAATGTGTGTTTTTCGGATGAGTTTACTTTCTTTTTGAACGGTGTAGTTAATCGGCACAACTGTCGGTACTGGGCTGAGGACAACCCCAGGGTTTTTCACGAGGTGCAAACACAAAACCCTCAGAAATTGAACATGTGGGTTGGTATTTCTGGAAATTCTATTGTGGGTCCTTTTGTTCTTCCTGGAAATCCAACAGATGATATGTACTTGGATTTACTGGAAAATGCCATCGACCCAGCCCTAACTGACATCATAGAGAACAATCCTGGATACGTTGAAGCGGAACTAATATTTCAACAAGACGGTGCACCTCCACATTGCTCTCAAAATGTGCGTAATTTTTGAACAATAACTTTCCCGGTCGGTGGATAGGACGAAGGGGTGCAATTGAGTAGCCTCCCCGGTCACCCGACTTGACTCCTTTAGACTTTTTTCTATGAGGAGACATAAAAAGTAAAGTATATAGCACTCCACCCGCCTCATTAGAAAACCTGCGAAGACGAATTATTGATGTTTGTCGCGAAGTGACCCCGCAAGTTCTTCAGAATGTTCGAGAACGGTTTGAAAATAATTTGTATTACTGTATGGAGGTTAACGGGCAACATTTTCAGCATTTGCTTCATTAATAAGTTAAGTTTTTTTTAATTAATTTAATTTATGCGTTTTTTTGCAAAAAGTACTTTTCAAATTTCAATCCTTCATATTTTCAAAATGACTCGACCGATTTTTAAAAACGAAGCGGGGAAATATAGAGAATAGAAAGCCCTTTTCATTGCGGCGCCACTTGATCCCCCTTCCCATTTGAAAAAAGTTGGGGGATGACACCCCCGCTTAGAGGGTTGAAGATTTTGCAATCATTTTTGGGTCAAAAGTTGTCCCCCTCACAAACAAAATTGACGTGTTTTTGGATTTTTTGAAAAAAAAACACCCTGGCTGTTATGCCTTGCGGAACGTTTTCGATGGGCCACCCTGTATTTAAAAGCTAAGTTTGCTTTTTATCTTACTTTGTCCAGTTTATCAATGGCAGAGCATATGCATCTAAAACTGCTTGCTGGAACACCACAAGCTTCAAACATACCATCCAGAAGTGATCTGTGATTTATTTTGATGACATAAGGAGTTACTTCCAGAGTATCCAAAATTTCACAAACAATTTTAATACATTCCGAATCAGGAAGCATCAGATCATATGTTCCAGCGATGTCAAAGTCCTAAAGTTGTAATAAAAGTGACATTTACCAAAAATAAGTAAATAAAAGACTTACGCATTGGTAAAATTCCCTATATCTACCTCGAGCCATTGAAGGGTTGTCCCTTCTATATACTTTGGCAATGTGGTAACGTTTTATGTTAGTTATTTTATTCATAGCCAGATATCTGGCGAAAGGAACTGTTAGATCATATCTAAGAGAAAGAATCTCGCCCCCTTGATCTGCGAGGTCATAAATGAGTTTCGAATCTTCTCCGTATTTTCCCGTAAGCACTTCCTAAAAGTAATGGATTATCATCAGAGCCACCCTCGTGCCATTTGAAAAAATTGAGATATGATTAAAAATACGTTTTGGGCATCTTTGAATTGACCAGGAAAAGACACCAAAAACATTAGACGATCAAATATAGTGTTTTTAACAAAAACAAATAAATAGTGTTTCTAACACAGCCATGGCACTCTAGATTGAAATTTAAAATACAATTTGTTTTTGAGCGAATATGTCAAAAGTTGACATATGATAGATGTCATAGATGTTACATACTAAAGTAAACGCCACGAATGTTTGGAAGTGATTCATCGCTTGATGAAGTTAGAATCGACACGCGCGCTATCATTTTTACATTAAAAACGTAAATTTTTACCGCAGACGTAGGTTTTTAAAGGCCCGGTCTAATCATCTACCTGCGCTCCTCCTACTTATTCTAAAATGTTAGCGTGATTGACAAAGACGATACTATATCGCCTTTCTTTGATTGGTTCGTTTTTGTGCGTCAGTCCATTGGTGTGCTTGCAGTGCGACCAATGGGGCATTCCATTTTATATTTATAACCAAATATATAAAACAACAAATTACAACATATAACATATTGATTATTATATGACTTGAAACACCACGGCACTGGAATTAAGTTTTATGTGACCTTGAACAGATTAGTTCACATGGTAGCGACCTTTGAATAAGAAGACTAAGGAAGGAGCATATCAAAAATCTTAGGTACACCGCGATGGGCCTCAAATATGGCCGACTTAAATTCCGGTTTATCAGTGTCGTTCTAATTTTATTTAAAAAATGTAAAACTATGATGTAGGGTAGACGTGGGGTAGACTCAATAATTTGTTGTTTTATTTTACGTTGTGAATAAATGTTGGTAGTTATTAAAATTGTTATAAAAATATGTAATTCTAATAAAAATAGATAAGTTAAAATAAGTATTTATTAACACAAACATCCGATACGCTACTGAAGCAGGTAAGTCAAATTAACGTATCTAAATTCTTTGACATCTAATCTTTGACAAGTAATAATTAAAAGCTAAAATGCAAGAAAAATATATAATTTAGTTAATTTAAGTGAATTTCATAAATGATCGGTTTACTACACGTATGTATTTTATATAGTCACATACTAGCGAAAAGTTGTTCCATTATTTCACTCAATTTTTGCCGAGATCTACCGCACGCTACACAACCAACTATTTTAGAGTATTTTTCGATAAATCGCGATAGTGTCACTGTTAATTTAAGTTCTGCCACAATTTCCATCTAGATTTACTACCTTTATACAACTATCAGTAGTAGAATAAATAATAAATAACATAAAATAAGCTCCGTAAAGACTGACAAATCCACAAAATTTCAAATCAAATTCAAATGTGTCAAATGAATCGTCAAACAGAACTGTCAAGGATCCCCACCCTAGAGAGCTTTTATGGTGGCTTTTCCGCCCACCATGCATAAATACATGGATAGCATTATGCTCCTTCCTTAGTCTTCTTATTCAAAGGTAGCGACCGATGAATCACTCCCAAACATTCGTGGCGTTTACTATAACATACCAAATCTCGTTATTTTATCTGAAAAAATAAAAAAGTTATAGGGGGTGAGCCACTTTTGAGACGAACCCGTTATACCCCTTCATAAACTATGCAACATCTGTATAACTAATACTTTTCTTCATATCTTCGACAACAACGACGATATGGAACTTCCTCGCACTAACGGGCCATTCTGTATATTCTATTACTTGGTACTTTTTAAAACGCCCAGATACACGGCCACCACTCTTAATAAAACTGGCGGTTGTTCTACCTGGTAATTGTAATTATTTTTTGTCCTAGATTTAGTAAACTTTGCGGTAAGTAAAAATTTTACTTTGAAATTACGTAAGCTTGTTGGTTAGATGTTAGATGGTAAAAAAGGACAAAAAAATAGCAAAAATAAATAAAATATTACAGATCAGAAAAGAGAAATGGGCATTCTTTCATTATGATTGCATGTTGCAGTTAAATAAAAATATAGTAAAAACGAAAAAAAAAGGAAAGAGGCGCGTAAACGCCTATAAAAAGAAAACTATTAATTTTCTTGTAACTCACTTTAAGTTCAAAAACTGGTGTGTCTATCGTTACAGCACCGTGCTTCTTAAATACTTCTGTAATCTTGCTTAGCACCGAATTGCGCAGTGCCATCTGCTCCGGGGAATAATCTCTAGTTCCTTTTGGGGTTTTAAGGGTAAATTTTTGGTTAACATTCACATCATCGGTGTTTGGAAAGGTAGCTTGTGCCTGGGCTTTCAGATCAAGAAGTTTGTTTACTTCTTCGGCAATCTGAAAGTTCCAATGTTGGTCGTTCTTTAAAGAAATTCGTTAATATCTAATTTCAGAAATGTTTGAATTATTATTTCCTTCCAACTTAATAGCATAATTTCTAGTTAATCGATCAATCTTTCAATTACGAAATTTATACTCTATTTTGAAATGAAAAGCAAAAATACCAAACTTCATCCAAAAACATTTTTCAGAACAAAAAATAGATCAGTACAAATTTTTGTACCGGGTGTCCCACTAAGAATAGCTCTCGGCTGTATCTCGGAAAGTATTAGCCGTAGGGTTTTCGGAAAAAAATATTTATAACTAAAGAGGCCATGGGAAATTGCTGGAAATTATTTTCAAGTTTGTAGAACGACCGCTAGGGGGCGCAACTACAACAAAAAATATTAAAATGGAGTTTTTACACAATTTTGCCATTTAGATAAGGTGTACTATAAGTAATAGCTTCATAATCTTCAGTAAATTTTGAATATTTTTTGTTAGAGTCATTTTCCCTTATCTACCAAAATAAAGTGGCGGGGGAAGGTTAGATCTGTTTTTATTTAAATATTAGTAACTCTGGACTGGATGATTGGAATCCAACAAACGAGGGTTCGTTTAAAAGAGCGTTTCTTACTCTATATTGTACCGTATAAACTAAATAAATAAATAAATAAATAAATGCCTTTATTGTCAAAAAATTTTTCAATTTGTAGACAAAGGTAAACTAACAAACAAAGTAGAAAAAAAAAGGTACACAAACAAACAAACAAAAGATAATACAAAACATTATATAAATAATATTGTCAGTCTTATTGTTAAAATAAACATTTATAAATGTTTACAATGTCAAAGAACAAAAAATTTAAAATAATATTCAAAAATATTTAGCCAGTTTATAGCAAAATGTCAATGACCTCTAAATAAATTAATTTCGATTAAAAGAGTAGTAAAAGCTTAAAAAGTCAGCGAAAACCGCATCTTGTTATCTTCTTTCAAACCGAAGATATTAGCAAAATTATAATTAATACCAAAAAATAAGCCCTTAATTACCTTATTTTTACAACACGGTATCAGTAGCCCTCTTAATTATGCCCATTCTTACAAAAAAATAAGATAGAGACAGTTAGTTTATTTTAAAATCGACGAAATACCAGAATACCATAATACCAGAGGTATTAATATGTAATAATTAAGATATTAATAACAGTGAATAAGAAACGATGATTCGGTGAAGTCATGGTAGGCTTTGGAAAAAAATTGATAGCGTCTACGTTCAAAAGCTTATTATTATTGTTCATATGGTACAATATAGAGTAAGAAACGCTCTTTTAAACGAGCTCTCGCTTGTTGGATTCCGACCATCCAGTCCAGAGTTATTAATATTTAAATAAGATCAAAAACAGATCTAACCTTCCCCAACCACTTTATTTTGGTAGATAAAAAAAATAGCTTTAACAAAAAACATTCAAAATTTACTGAAGATTATGAAGCTATTACTTATAGTACACCTTATCTAGGCAAAATTGTATAAAAACTCCATTTTCCTATTTTTTGTTGCAGTTGCGCCCCCTAACTATTCTCTCGGGCACCGTTCTACAAACTTGAAAATAATTTCCAGCAATTTCCCATAGCCTCTTTAGTTATAAATATTTTTTTCCGCAGCCCCTACGGCTAATACTTTCCGAGATACAGCCGAGAGCTATTCTTAGTGGGACACCCTGTACAAAACTATTTTTTTGTTCAATACCAAATATTTTTTTTCGAAATTTCAGCACATTTTAATGGAATACAAATTCAATAGGTATAGGGTGATTCTCTAACTTCGAATAATAATAAAAAGGTACTCCAAGATATTTTTTTTTGGAAATATGCTCAGACTTTGATGAGTTGTTGATGATTGATGAATTGATGAGTTGTACATATTCTAAATGATTTTTTTACCTAAGAAACATAATGTACAGCTTGTCACAAATTTTATACATCAATTTACATTGATGACATCATAGACATTTTGTTTAAATGACAACCCTAATTTAAGCTGTTTTGTTTAATGTGCACTGAGTATCAATTACATAAGTATACAGTGTACCATATTTCAAATTAGTATATAAAAATTTTGATAAATAATTTTATCCATTATTGAAGAAATATTATTGAGTTGAATTATATTTTCAAATTAGATAATGAAAATGTTTTATTAAATGTCTTTTAACTAATAGAAGAGAATCATGTAGATGATCTCATATCTCAAATTCGGGACACGCATAATTAAATCGTGCGCGTTCAGGGACGGTCAGCGGCTGAGTGGCTGAGTAAAGCGATTCCCTAAACGGTCTCTTTTTACACACAAAAACAGTCAGCTGAGCGAAAGTCTCAGCGATCAGTCAGCCGCTGTGTTCCCTGAACGCGCACATCTTCTAGCGCCAAAAGAGCGCATTTTTTAATATTACGAGTCCTAGCATAATTCTAAAAAACAGATATCTTTCATTTACTAAATTTATTTGAAGTTAGAGAATCGTCCTACAATTACCGGCACAAAAAACTTTGATGAATTTTGATGTAAAAAAAGTTTAATATATTTTGTTCTAGTGGGCCGATTTTGATGATTATGTAATAAAGTTCATAAAAATTTCTGCACTCATTCCTGGAACACCCTGTATATTGTGTTAATTAATAATAGGGACTTCATTTTCTTTTAATAATAACAGTCAATGTATTTTATTATTATTGTAATGAACTTCATTAGTGTCGCTATAGTTTAATGCGAGAAAAACGGAGCGTTTGCGCCGCTCGCCCTACTCTGCTAGTGCAGACTGAGTGGAGGGGAGCGCCAGTCGAGTACCTTGGCTGCAGCAGTTCCAGAGAGACAGTTGGTGGTCGCACGCGAAACAGTAAGTTCGAGTCCGGAGTGCCTGCCAAGTGACCTGCTGCCAGCCGCCGATCGCCGCCGTACTGCGCTAGGTAAGCACCAGCCGCCGAAGTGTTCGAAGGTAGGTCGTATCCTTGTTATGATTACTAGCGGTTACTGTACCACCTAGGCGCGTTTTAGGGATAAGGGAGAGCGAAGATTGCCGACCAGGCGAAAGAGGGAATACGGTGCGCTAGAGCAGGTGCCGGGAATCACGTCCCGGAAACTACACCACATAAGGGTGGCCTGACAACTGCTCCGGTGTAGCGTATCCTTCCGAGAGGGGTTCTAAATTTATTTTAGTAGTAGAGTCGCCGACCAGGCGAAAGAGGGAATACGGTGTACTAGGGCAGGTGCCGGGAATCACGTCCCGGAAACTAGACAACATAAGGGCGGCCTGACAACTGCTCCGGTATAACGTACCTCTCGGGAAAAGTTAATTACGGGATAATAACTAATTGGTTTTCATAAGGGACAGCTAAAGTGGTTCAGTAAACGCAAGGGCGCGAATATTTAAAGTACTAGACAGGATCTCGCCCAACTCCCGAGGCTGGTTTTGTCGTGCCCGTATTTCTCTAGGTGTGCCGTCCGGACGGCATCCTACAACAGTGACGCTGGACGGGATGTCGCCGAAATCCCGAGGCTGTCCTGACGGGGCTGTGTGTGTACGTGCTGCGCTTGTCCGAACGGCGTACAACTCGCCGAGACGTCGCTAACGTCAACGTCACTCCGGGACTCGCGTCTGTATCCCAGGGGACGCTGTTAACTTCGCGATCGATCCAGGACTCGCGTTTGTGTATCCCACGGAACGCTGTTAACTTCGCGATCGATCCAGGACTTGTGTTTGTGTATCCCACGGGACGCTGTTAACTTCGCGATCGATCCAGGATTCGCGTGAGTGTGTCACGGGACGCTTTTAACTCCGACGCCGATCCGGGGTCCGTATTTCGCTGTCAAAAAGGACACCGCTCCGATAAATACTTAGCTGTGACCATCGGGACGCCTGTAACGACGTCGCCGCCGTTTAGTGAGCCGCGTCGCGGTAGAATGTGTTGCTCCGGTACTTACGTGTCTATGTCCAATGGGACGCCGCTAAATACGACGCCGATCTGGAACTCGCGTCGTCGTGTCTAATAGAACGTCACTTTGGGAACGCGTCTTGAGTTCGCGTGATAGAATCAGTCAGAGAGTTACGTACTGGGAATAATCGATCAGAATTCTAGAGGTACACGGTTGTTATTGTAAATTTTTGCTTTACGGGGTACTAAACATTTATTTTATTTTATTATTGTTTCAATACGAGAACGTAAACTTTCCTTGATTACTTTTGTACATAATTAATTTGTTAAATAAAAACCTAGTGTTACGTTATAGTTAATTGTGTTTTATTTTCTTTTCATCTCATCACTCCCTGGTATCTCCACTGTATAAAAGCTACCCGTACTGGCACTAGTGGTCTCTCAAACACTTTAAACTTTGGGGGTGGCGCCCGAGGAACCGAACAAAGGCAACTCGGCGTCAGTGAGCGTTCTCAAAAACGGAGGGACCCTCACAATTTTTAGCTAAATTATTTGACTTTTTGATATCTCCTTCTAAATTAAAAATTAAAGTTTCCATCTGTCAATTACACGAGGGAAAACAAAATGTTGGTATTTTGGCGAAAGTTTGAAACGCCCTGTAGAATCTATTAATAAGGGCTCGAACACACTGACGACCAGGTCGCACCGGCCAGGCCGCTGCTACCTCTAAAACCATTAAATCAAATGATACAGAGCACACTAACGTCCTGGCCCTCCGTTGGTCATTGCGACCAGTAGACTGCACTAAAATATTATTATTTTCTGCCGCTTGTTGCCGGTTTTCTTCCAAATTAATATTTTTTCAGATGAAATCCCTCAAATTCAACGCACAATATTTTATTTTCTCTAAGATATATAGTGTAATTAGTAAGTAATAGTGTTTTAGTGTAGTTTTTGCACACGTGCAGAAAATCCAAAGAAATAGTATACAGACTGGATCAAAGGGAACCTTAAATCTAGTCCCTTTTTTTATCAAGGGTCGATTCTAGTAAAAATTAAAAATATTTTTATATGACATACTCTATTTATGGTTGGTATGATACCTGTTATTATACCTTCGAGTTTCGATGTTAAAAAATAAAAAAATCATATTTAAAGTTTTTCTACAACCACTTGTTTTTTTTTATTAAATTATTTTTTTTAGTTGTATTGTAGTCATGTACAAGGAGGACAACTGTATTTTAAATATTATACTACTAGGTACATTATTAAAAAAAAAATTAAGAGTAAAAGTAACTTAAACATTCATAAAAATTGAAGTATTTACTGTTGTAGATTCTCAGTAACAATAAAAAAGAGGAATTTATATTGTAAACATTGAAATAACTGGAAGCTAAACTTTCTACCTGCTTATATTTAGAGCCAGTGTCTGACGACCTTTTTTTACGATGGCCCTAATACGTTTACTTCCAAAGTCGATAAGAGCCATCAGTAGAAGTCCATATCAGTAGAAAAAAGAAACAAAATATCCCCCTTTTTGTCGGTCGCGCGTACACAATACTTTTTGTTCGGCCTATTTGTTCTGCTTGTTCGTGCGCGCTCGTTTCGTTCGGGCTAAAAAGCTCAAGTCTGGACGCACCTTTAGGAACAATACTGTTTTTGTCCTTTATTGATATAATGCTGAAAATCTCACAAGTAACATGTCTCACTCTACACATATTAAATTACATAGTATACATAGTATAATTGACAGATGACAACTTTCATTTTTAATTTAGAAAGAGATACTAAAAAGTCAAATAATTTAGCCAAAAATTGCTGAAAAATCATCAAAATCGGCCCACTAGAATAAAATATATTAAAATTTAAAGTACATCCAAACTCTAAGGTATCCTTTTTCATGCCGGTAAGCGTATATACCAACTAGGTATAAAACCACATTTAAAGTAATAGTATAATTAATTATTTTGAAAGTTTTAAGCAGCATTTTAAAATATAAACCACAGGTTCTGCAATAATCTTAAAATAATATACAAACATTTTGAAAAGCAGACATTTTACTTTTGTAATATTTTATGCAAAAACAAAACTAAAAGTAGTAAAACTATATGCAAAAAAGTGAAGTCACTGACCTGTAAAGGTCTGAACAATGTAATGTTTCTACACATAGCCCTAGTTATCAGCTTGGGTGGCCACAGAAATTTTTGAAACCCCATATTGTCTTAGTTCTTTACTGTTACAACCGAGTCAACACTTCAAATAAAAATACATAAAACAAGCTTAAAATTTACCTGAACATTGTAAAGGAGATCAGTTAAATTTTTGACTTGATTCTGATCATATTCAATAAAGAGATTTCTTTCTACTTGTGAAAAGCTGGCAATATGAACATACCAACGTTTTAAGTGAATGAATTTTTCAAAAATGGATGTATTTCTTAGTGAATTGAATAAGAGTGTATCAGCATTTGTCGGCTGATACTGACACAGGTAGCTGTGATTCGAGAGATATTTGTTCAAGCAGTCAAAATATTCTTCTTTCAGATATTTGTCAAATGAAGATCCATTCGTACCCTAAAGTACAAAAATGGCATAAAGGAATTTAATAACCTAATCATTTTAACATATTTTCTAGATTATTTTAAAGTAAGTATGTTTTCACCTACCCGTTCTTTACTTTCCTTTGATGCTTTTAATTTTCTTACTAAATCGCCTTGTTCTCTTATTTGTTTTTCCAAAGATAATTTTGTATTTGTAGACATCTTCCTTATTTCCAAAGACGGGCACGTATCACTGATTATTAAATGTTATTAAAAACAGTTAAAAACTGATGCAATACTAATGCAACCTAAAACCACTCAACCACCAATCCCAATCACAGACAGACGATGTAATAGATTTTGACTTATCTCTATCGTAGAACAATTTATTTCAAGGTGTTTCTTTTAAAGTCAAGTGAAAGCTTAAATAATTTTACAATTACCAGAGAATGGCTACAACGCACACACGTGTTCTTTGATTTAGTCACAGATTTAGTAATAACAGGTGACAGTGACAGGCTCAAGGCCATCGGCGGCAGCTGATCACAATCCCAAACATCCCACAGAACATATCACATGTCACTATCAGGGTTCGGAAGTAGTTAATTAAGATGCAAATTACATCATTAACTACGTGTAGTTTTTCTTCAAAATCTACTACTTTTTCCGTTCATTAACTACATGAAAACTACGGTAATAAACTACGTATTGATATTATGAATAATTTTTCTTTGTACGAGAGGTCTAAATATATTATTTAGAACATGATGTGAATATTACACATTAATTTTAATTTAATTTAAATACATTATGTGTTTTCTAAAGCTTGAACTTATTATAACCTCACCTCAAACCTTTGATATTTACATTACATACATAAACTACACCCCTAACATAAACTACATTAACTACATGTAATGTAGTTAATGTAGTTTTTAAAAGTAAAGTAACATGTAGTTGTTTTCCGAACCCTGGAGTCACCATCCTATAATATGTGTAATAATTCACACCACCAACTACCAACCCTGTCAACTGAAATGCATATGCAATGCAGTTTTCTTTTCTATGGCTTGCGCCACAGATTATGCTATGGCTAAACTATATATCCATGATCCATGGGCTGATATCACCAAATATCGCATATCACAGCTGATATAACCTACAAACTACAAACTACAATTTTTTGTTGACAGTTGTGACTGGTTTTTGGTTTTTGATCAACATATCAACGAAGATTTATTTATATATTTTTTTTCTGACAGTGATTAAATATATTATAGTAAAATAATTTCATTATCGTAGAATATTATTTTTGTAAGGGAAATTCAAAGGGGCAGGGGGTTAACGTTAAAGTTGATCCCTTAGGGGTCTTTCATTTTTTTTTTGTGCCAATTCAAAATGATCACAGATTCTGGGTGGTGTAAAACGAAATTGAATTAATTTTTCAATATTACCAAGAACTTTGCTAGACAAACCATCAAGCATTTGAAGTATCCACTCAACCGTAACTCCTTAATTTTGATTTAGGATTATATGTAGAGAGAGAGCTAGCCTTCAATATTTAGTCAAATTGCGAAAATACATTTATAATATTAAAATGAGTCAAGTCGAAGAGAACTCGGACATTAAGGAAGTCCAAAATACTCTCCAATTGATGAATCTCAATACAGAAGGTGAATCAACAAATCTGTTGAAAACAGAAAAACAAAAAGTAGACATTTTACTAAAACCCACAGGAAATGCTCCAATTATGAAAAAGAAAAAATGGACAGTTGATAGTGACAAACCAATTGGATGGATTATCGAATTTATTAAGAAATATTTGAAATTAGAAGTTAATGAAAAACTTGTAAGATTGCTATCGGTTGTTATGGTACTGTTTAATATAATAGTACATCTTTTTCAGTTCCTTTATGTTAATCAGAGCTTTGCACCATCCCCAGATCAAATAGTGCGAAACTTATACGATTGTTATAATAGTGAAGGCACATTAGTTTTACACTACTGCAATACACAAGCTTGGGGATAATTCAAAAAATTTGAGTTAAATATATTGATTCTAAACCTTTATATTTGTCTTATATATTTAATGCATAATTTAATAACTTATTAATATATAAATATTTGTAGTAAAGAATGAATATTGTATAATAATATAAGTATAACTTGCTTGATCATACTTATATATTATTTTTTTATTTTGGGGGCGTCTCAGAAATACATACATCATTTAATTTACTTTGTTCTTCTTCTCCAAAAATAATTTCATCTGGGTCTGGGGCCCGCGGTAAAAATTCTATATCTGGATATATTCTCTGAAAAATGTCTTTCGCCTAAAAGATCAGTTAGAACATAATTTATTGAATATTAATATACCGTGCTGGCAACTATTACTTTTGGGTCGGAACTTACATGTGTGGAAGTAAATCGCATAGGGATCTTATTAAGTCGGAGTGAGAGAAATGCGACGGTGCGCTATTGCGGTGTTGCCGGTACATATTTCGCTATCAGGTAAAGTAAAATCACGATCGCAAACCGTTTATTTTTAAACGACTTTTTGTTCAAAAAGATAACTAGATAAAATCATTAGGTAGGTTTCTGAGCATTTGAAATGGAATTATAAGGTTATCGTTAGGGTGTCCATTTTTTTATAACGACAAAACGTCAGTAATCGCGATAATTTAAAAAATCAACTTTTTAACACATAACACGCCATAAGAACCACTTAGATGGGTATTGATTTTTTTTTATTTATAAATATTTTCACATACTGTCTGCGAAGAAAATGTAGCAGAAATGTTAAGAAAGTTTTTGAAAAACTGCAATCAATTGTTTTTAATAGATTTTGAGATATCGATTCATTTTGAATTCAGAGTTCTAATAGCGCGACTACTGTCAAACAAACTCCAACTCAGTTCCACTTATTGTTACCAAAAATGCAAGTGTTTCTAAACACTTAAAAATTTTCAAGCTCTGAGGAAAATTACAAAGTCTCGTTAATAAATAAAGTATCGCGAGACGTAATTAAATCGTGAAGCTGAACGCATGATGTACACCTTTCCCTAGAACGTTAGGTACTGACAGAAGTACTGATTGGGTCGACCGGTGTACTGCGACAAATCTGCTAGATCCCCTTCTACGTCTCTTAGTAATGTGCGCAGTTTCTCGGTTTATTTCGTGCGTTTGGCAACGTGTTTACTGTTCTCTCTTTGTTCAATACATTATAAACGCTTTGTACTCTTCTTATATATCGGAAATCTCGGCCCAAGACTAACCTTTGCCAGCCCTTAGTAGATATTGCTATCATTACTTTTTTAACTGTATAGTCATAATCCAAATCTAGATCTGGACCATCACATAAATGAACGTTTAAATGGTCATTATCGTTTAACTTCAAATCGCTGGTATTGGGTATTGAAAAGTAACAAGCCCATAACATATTTGGTTTTCCATCTACTTGTAAATGGGTATAATTACTTTCAAATAAATTTGCCACAACATGTTTAAAATCATCTTTCGGGTTTGACTGTTGCTTTGTTATTAAATGTACTAAATCTAAAAAAAAATATTCCTTTAGAAAAACAAAAAACTATCAAATTAGATTTCTCTAACAAAAATTTTGAGGACAAGTGCCTGTAAGGTGTCCCATTTCAATAAGTGTAACACTGTTTCCTTTGTCTTCAGGTGGATATATTAGGAGTGTTAGATGTTCCTGTTCGCTTGGCATTATAGATCTGTTTGTTATAAGAACAGCTCTAGATATATAATCTGTAACTTTCAAGTTATTTACCAATTCTACAGGAGCTTTTTCAATATTCAAAACAAAATGTTCTGCTTTAATTTCTTGAGAACCATTCAGCAGGGAAGTTACCCTGTTGTTGTCTAACTTTAATCCCGCTATTGGTTGATTCAATGCAAAAATTCCACCAAACACTGCACTGAGCCTGTAAAAGAAACAGATAATAATCTGCTAAATTGTACAGGGTGACGCACCTCATTCGCCTCGGTTGATTATACGAAAACGGAAAGAAAAACGCTTGATTAACACATTATTATATTCTCTCTTTGTGGAGTTGTATATATGTCTCTATATCTAATATATTTCTTACTAAGAACTAACAATGTGTCCAATCTGTCTTTACATTCAAGTTTTTATCTTTTTGTATATTCAGCTTGAATTTATATTTTGTCTTCATAGAACAAGTGTAAAAAAGAGTTAAGAAACCATTCAGGCATATTTAAATATCTCAAAAACCAAAGCTTTTAAACATATTAAACGCTTATAATAAATGCCTTATTTTATGTCGAAAAATCTAAAAATTAAATAAAATACCGGGTGTTCCATAAGAAAAAATATAACTTTGGTATGGATCTTAGTTCTGACATACCCTGTATTTTTCAAAATAATTTTAGATGATGTACCTTCCCACATATACCCATAAAATATTTTGTTTCTACATCTTTCCGTTTTTTCTCGTATAATCAACCGAGGCGAATGAGGTGCGCCAACCTGTATATGTCGTAGTCTCATAGTGTATTCCGGCTTTTCATGGAAAGCCTAGTCACTTAATGAAAAAAACTAACCTAATAACATAACTAGTGTGATAACTAGACTGCTAACCTAACCGACGCGACGCTTCATGAAGTGACCTAGGATCTTCATGAAAAGACGGAATACACTATGTGACTATAATATAGGTATAACGGGTGTTGCATCGTCGAGCGGGACATAGGAAGTCCCATGTAAATTTTAATGGGGTCAATTATTGGCTTCCCTAATTATTTTAGAGAATAATTCTATTTCGGTTTATTGAAGAGCACTAAAACCCACATTCAAAAGAATAACTTTAGATATTTTTGATTAGCCCGTTTACGAGTTATCGCCGATTTCTTTTTAAATATTTCTCCTTTCTTATGGCCCTGTATTTACTTATGAGCACCAGTCAAGGTAAAAGATAACTGTCAGCTGAAGTTATCATTTCAGAAATGTATCTATTTAGTGCTTTATTATTATTATTAAAATCTCATACCTATACATCGAAAATATTAGTCATGAATTACACTACCGAAGAAAAAGTATTGATGATTAAATGGTATTATCAAGGAAATGGTTGTTTTATGGTGCGTGGAAGAGAACGATGGAAAGATCAGCACAAGGAAACTTGAGGATGAAATAGGAATAGATCACACTACAGCGTTTCGAATTTTGAAACGACATAAATACTATTCCTTCAAATATGAAAAGCACCAAGAGCTACGAGATGTGGACGAAATACGGCGGCAGACGTTTTGTTTTGATATGATGCAATGTTCAAAATTATCGATATTGGAACAAAGAAAACCAACACAGGTTTGTCGAAACAAGGACGCAATATCCACAGAAAGTAAATGTTTGGGCAGGGATATTCGGACACAATATTATCGGGCCATTATTTCTTACGCGATATTTAAATGCAGAATATTATTTGGAACTACTCGAAAATCATATTTTACCTGCTTTACATGATGCCGCACTGTGGTCAATTTTTAAAAATTAACAGGAAAATATTAAAAAATCTGATGAGGCTAAGCGGCGTCAAAAACTCCATAAGTAGGCTTTGAAATAGTTGCTAAGAACATTTCATTAACAAATATGTCAAAGGTCGTTGCGAATTTACTGTTATTTTGATTGAAAATGTAGTATAGTTGACAAACTAAACTAAATAATCTTGTTATTTGCACATGAATAAAGTTTTTAATTTGGGTATTCCGTGCAAAAAGTTATATGTCATTAATACTATCTAAAATGGAAAGAGCAATTGTTGGTGGTAAGTTTTTTGACATTAATGTTCTTCTGTTGAGTATTAAATATGAGTAAATAAGTTTGATATGGTTAGATTTTTTTAAATTATTAGAATATACATTTTTTAATGAACTAGCAGAAACAAGTCTTATGAGGTTTCAGTTTTAAATAAAGTTAAGTTGATAGTTAAACCATTAGACAACTTTACCAAACCTACAAATTTACTGTCCTAGTCCGTCTGTTAAGTCCAGGCCATTTTTTAGGACGTATTGCCCAGATTAAACGCTTGGAGGTTGTTGACTTTTTAAAAGCAACTGTTAGCAAAATCTGTAAGATCCATAGTATTATTCTTAGAATATGATAATTTTTAAATATCTAACATATGTAAATGATCGCGACCAAAATCTAATTAAAATAAAAAATAACGAAACTTTTCCAAGTTTTTAATTATTATACACCCTGTATACGACCTGTTCTTATTAATTATATTATTAATGTAATTTTATGATACCTAACATATAAAATCAGAAATAGTTATTAATCAAAGTTAAGTAATTTTCACTAATATTTTTTTCCAGCTAATTTGACAAAATTGACCACAGTGTGCCGCTAGGGAAAATCAGGAAGTTTGGTACCAAATGGATGCACATAGCACCCTGGCTGTTCGGGAATATTTAGACAATAGTTTTAACGGAAACGTTATTGGCCTAAATCATATAGTAAATTGGCCAGCAAGGTCTCCTGATATTTCGCCAAATGATTTCTTTCTCAGGGGCCATTTAAAAAACAGGATATACAAGGATAAAAAAATACCCAAATCTAGACGAGTTAAAAAATGCTATTTCTGCCGAATGCAATAGAATTTCAGTTTATCAACTAGCGAATGTAAGAAGAGAATTTTATGATCGCCTCGGTTATTGTCTAGCAGTCGATGGAGGAATATTTGAACATCTTAAATCCTAAAGTTCTAACAATTTAATAGTACCTAAATTAATAAGTTATTGAATATTGTAATAATACTATAATTAACCTTGTAATTGATTACTTTATTTTACTTTAATTCATATTAATTTGTATTTATAAATACGTTTTTAAGATTTCCGATGTAGGAATGAATTTTCAATAATAATAAAGCACTAAATAGATAAATTTCTGAAATGACAACTTCATTTGACAGTTATCTTTTACCTTGACTGGTGCTCATAAGTAAATACAGGGCCATAAGAAAGGAGAAATATTTAAAAAGAAATCGGCGATAACTCGAAAACGGGCTAATCAAAAATATCTAAAGTTATTCTTTTGAATATGGGTTTTAGTGCTCTTCAATAAACCTAAATAGAATCATTCTCTAAAATAATTAGGGAAGTCAATAATTGACTCTATTAAAATTTACATGGGATTTCCTATGTCCCGCTCGACGATGCAACACCCGGTATATATAACCATAGTTAACCTGCAGAACGCCTGGGTTGTTTCGCCACTACCATACATTGAAAATAAGAAAGGAGTTTTACCAAACCTTCCTAAACTATTTAAAAACCTTTTTGTATTTGCCATTCCATCTATACAGGACGTAGAATCAGTGCCTTGGGAAATGGCATAAAGCACAAAATGAATAAGATTTGTTGTTAATTTTTTACTTTTCAAAAACTCCAGAAATGTTTTATCTTTGCTATCTAAAAAATAAGAATTGTACCATTGTAAATTACCCCATAGAATAGTATATTTACCGGTTGTATTATCATTTTTATCCACTAGTGATAATAATTTCATAAGTATACGTTTTTCAATAACTGACACCTTATTATTAGCAAATACATCTGATCTTGAGCAAGGTACTGCTTCTATCTGGTTATTTAACCATGTTAAAATTCTACTAACGCTTTTGTACTCTGCATATCGTGCAATATTGGAGGAAATTAACAATTCTATAAAATCACCTCTTGCAAAATGTAGCTAAGAAATAAAAAAATATATTTAATGCAAGATCTCTTTAAAAGGAATAGTTGCCTACCTTTGGCATTAAGTCAATATTAAATTTCCTTGAATTGTTAAGTATTTCTTCACGTAAAAAAACGGAATTCTCATTATTCTCTTCTAACTTCAAGGAATCATTAATTACACTTTCTATTTGACGATTTTTAGAATCATCATTCTTACAATAAATACCAATTTTTTCAGGAACATGCCATTCAGCAGAAAAATTTCTTATATTAAAAGAATCATTATTAAAGTTTAAAAGATCTGAGCTGTTTTCTGTATGCTTTTTAATATTATTTGAAAATGTACAGTTATGAAGGGATTTGAAATTAAAAGAAGCCCATTGTTCCCCATAATAATCATTACTAAAAATTAAAATGTTCTTTGATATAATTTGAAGGCTCTAATCAAATGTCCTTACCTATCAATATGTAAAACACTTTTTCCGATACGACTCGCAGCCGCTGATATAATTGATTCAGTTAAACCTAGAATATAGATATATTATACCTGTATGTTCCTGTAATGTAATATATTACCGGTTCCCACAACAATTAGATCAAATTCAGAAGGCAGTTCATTATCCATCGTATACAAATATAAAAAAAATCAACTATAAAATTCACTCGAACACTCTAAAGCAGTTTAATTATTAACATTCGTATTGTAAACACCCTAATACAAGAAGATAAAGAGACAAAATAAATTATTTGTATTTAAAATTTACGCTTGTTTACTCTTTTATACGCTCTTTTACAAATTTTTGACAATCAGCTGTTTACAAGAATTGCCTGTTCGTCATCTGTCAGATCCTTCTTGCGTTGTTGCCAAATGGGTAAATAATTCCTGTGAAAAGGTTTAAAATTCATCAGAGTGATAGATTAGCCCTCGATAGATAACAAGTCTTTAATCCATAATCTTAATCTTTATTGACATCTAAATTGAAAGCAACGTAAATTTTTAGTATTTGCTTTTCAAATGGTTTACGTTATGATTAATACGATGTTTCATATACTGAAAGCTAGAAGAATGTTCCATAAACGCTATTTAGTTTTAATTATTCTTTTGTTAGTTCTGCTCAATATAGGTAAAATGTTTAAACAGTAAATTTAATGAATATGTTTCAAGCAATGGGGTTTCAAGGGAGTTTTTTATTCTTGAATTTTTCTCTTCAATATCCTTTTTTACTAATATTTTATACGCAATTAACATAGTGATTAGTGATCAAATGTTTCGGGAGTTTGGCGTATTTTGGTAGCAACGTTGCTTGATTTTTATTCAGGTCAAGTTGTTCAATGTCATTGTCATTCTTTCTTTAATTTGAAATGTTTTATAATTTATTTAAGTAATATAGCGTTTCCTATGGACCGATCTCAGAATTTTAACAATAATATGAAAGCTAAAAAGTTTACTTTTTATCTTTTGATATTTTTAGCACTCTTGGTAATTTGGAAACTGTCAGTAATAGAGTCTGGTAAAAATTCGGTTCAAGATAAAAATATTTGGAAAGTGGTCATTATTTTACTTTCAGGTATCGACAAATTGCAAATTCTGAAAGAATCTCTGGAATTACATAAAGATAAATTGCAATTAACAGAACAGCAAGTTTTACTATTGCAACAATTAGAGGCAGAAAAACATCATCAAAATAGACCTATTATTTACTGTATAACGCCGACGTATTGGAGATATGTACAAAGAGCCGAGTTGACACGTATATCACAAACGCTTAAGTTGATCCAAAATATTCACTGGATTGTCATCGAAGATGCTGCAAAAAAAAGCGATATAGTACGTAACGTAATTTCAGAATCAAAACTTATTGCTACTCATTTGGTAGCACAAACAGCTTCATTTGAGAAATTTAAGGATAAGGTAAATAATATAGTTTTATAATTAAAATGCGAAATTAATATACCATAAAAAAACCTGTGTCAAGTTACCATAGAACTGCAATTTGATGAATTTTTGTATGTAGTGATCTTTTAGCATTTCTAAAAGTGGCCCTACACGCAGCAATTTTATCTGCATGCTAAATTGTACAGTTCAGATCTTAGGACCAAATCAATAGCGTTCTTTTTACATTACTCGTTCAGGTTTTATAAAAGATATTTTTGTTAGTCTATAATCTAGTACAGTTCCCTTTAAATCTGTGGTCTGTGCAGTTAAAAATATTCTGCATGTTGAAAAATCGCAGATCTCATCTCTTTGATGAGATCTGCTGTAGTTTTTTAAATAAACCAATAAAATTGCATAAAATCAATGATGATGAATTTTTTTATCTATGGATATACAAGGTGCCCCAATATTCTGTGGACATAGAACTACTACCTACTAGAATTCGCGAAGTTTGGTTTCGTCATCATTTTTGGCGCCATATTGGTTTTCACGTATTTCCTGAGGGTGCAGCCACACTATCCTAAAAACGGCGTATCGGCGTAACGGCGTAATGACCTTGAATAGATTTCCAGTAATTCTATTGGCTGAAACATTCATCTGTCAGAAATTTTATTATATTTATTTTATAATTTACGCCGTTTTTAGGATAGTGTGGCTGCACCCTGAGTTGATCCATAGATGTAAACATTTAAGATGCTATCGCTATTAGTAGGGAGCTATTAGGGAGTTTTCGTTGCTTTAAAAAAATTCAACGGTACGGTTAACGGATACGTAACCATAACCGCTATTTTGACAGATAAAAAAACAGTTTTCCGACTTTCGGTTCATCGGTTCGGAGCCGACATACGATACGATAACCGAAAACTGACAGCTGAGCACAGCCCGTAGCGTAGTGTTTTGATTTTTGGTTTTTGTTATGTTGTTTGATTTGAAAGTGCTTTATATGACTTTATTGGGTATCGCTATATAGGATGGACAATTTAATTTTATTGGACTCTAGTGATGAATCGGATTTGGAGGATGCTATGCTGTTGGAAGGGTTTGAAAACAACATCGAATATCGAGCAGAACTTTATGGGGAGTTCAACCTAGAAATATTATCTGACCAAGAGTGCAAAGCTAACTTCCGCTTTGAAAAAAAAGACATTCCTCGATTAGTTGAAGCACTAAGAATTCCCAACGAGTTTAACACAGATAAAATAAATAATCAAAACATAAACAAAATAGAATGAGGTTAGGTTAGATCTGTATTTTTCAATGTTGTGTTTCTACTGCGCTAGTGTGCATGCGTACCGTTATGTTAACGGCTTTGGCTAACGTCCGTAAAATATCGGCAGCTAGCGGTTACGATATACGATAATCGAAATTGAAATGTCAAAGTTGTCAATTAGCGTTAACCGGAATTGCAATTTGTAAGCAACGAAAACTCCCTATTGTATTCATGTTAGCGTTACACCGTTATCGTTAAATTTGGCTTTTGCACTAACTACAATTAAGATAGTACAATATACAAAATAAAGTTACATAAACCCCAGTGAATTTCCGCACAGTATATGTAAATATTTAGTTTATCAATGAAAAAAAATATTATTAATTTTATCAAATTTTAATTAATTAATTATACCTATAACTATACACATATACAAACTATATATATAACTACTATATACCTATACAAAAGCGCTTTGTTTGTCCGTTGGCATCAAACTTCAAAAAATAAACACATTTTTTAACATATATTAAGAACCGTTATTCCAATTTGAATCAGATTTAGGGTGACTATGTTTTGTTAAGCGCTTTAATATTTGTCTTTTACAAAAATCAAGAGAAGTATGGGAAAGGTGAAATTTACCCCCACACCTATATAAATTTTAGTAGAAATATTTTCAAACTCAATTACAATCGAAAGTTTGTTGTTGATTATTAGTTCCTTATTTCAGAATCCTAAGGCAAAGAGACATCGAGGAGTCGAACAAAGAAATGCAGCTCTAAATTGGCTTAGAGATAATCTAGTTTTAGGAAAAGACAAAGGTGTTGTATATTTTATGGACGATGATAATACTTACAACATTAAGCTTTTTGATGAAGTACGTTTTTCGATTTAAGGAGATAAGTTTGTCTATTTCTAATATTTGCAATTTTAGATGGCAAAGATTAAAAAAGTTGGAGTATGGCCAGTGGGATTAGTGGGCGGATTGAATGCTGAAACTCCAATAGTGGACAGAACGACTGGTAAAGTAACAGGTTATCGAAGCGGATGGTTGCCTAACAGACCGTTTGCCATTGATATGGCCGGATTTGCAATAAGTTTAGACCTAATATTATCTATTAAAAATGCCAATTTCTCGTATGAAATGGCAAAGGGTATGCAGGAAAGTGAATTTTTGTCATTTTTTACTACTAAGGAAGAATTAGAACCACTAGCTGACCAGTGCACTAAAGTGTATGTGTGGCATACTAGAACAGAGAAACCGAAAGTTAGTGGTATAATACCTGGTTTAGAAGTATAGGTAAATTTTTTTTATTAAGAAAAATCCTTGAAATCTGACAATATTGACAGAAAACTGTGTACGAAATAAAACTAGGTTGAATTATATCTTCTTAACACTTTTGCAGCTGAATACCCAAGTAGCATTTTGACAACTTGCGACCACATGTTTACTAAACACAACGTTGGATTAGTTACAAAAAATAGTTAGCTCCCTACCTTGGGTATTGAAATAAATTTAAACGTTTTTATAACGTTGTGCCGACGTTGGTCTAGTACTCAGCAAAGTAGAAGCTTCTGCGACGTCGAATAAACGTTGTCTTGTAACCTTTTTTGCTTAAGTGATCTTTAGGTGATTCGGACAACGTAGTTACAACGTTGGACAATATAGAGTTTTCCGACGTAAGTTTCAGGACCTATTCCAACGTTATGCAAACGTCGTCTGTTTTACTAATTACAACGTTGTTTAGATTTCCTTATTCTTACGTTGGTAGGACGTCGAGTCACTACCTTTTTGCAACTGTATTGAACCATAACCTTAAATCTTAAATTTTCACTTCATTGTTCTGTTCAGTCAGTGCTGTTTTTGTTTTTTTATAAAAAAAAACTTAATTAAATTGGGACATAAGAAAGGTACATATAAAACTAAATTTAAATATACATCGATATGCATAGAGAAGCTGAATAAATTAGCCAAAGAAAACAAAGTCCTCCTACACTGGGTGCCTGCTCACCAAGGGATAGAAGGCAATGAAAAAGCAAATAATCTAGCTAGGAAAGGAGCGAACACTCCACTAACTGGACCAGAACCGTTCTGCTTTCCAAGTGGTAACCAACTCAAGGCGGAACTCAAGAACTTGGAAGATTCCATCCGCAACCTGGAATGGAAATCTTGCAATGGTCTAGGACACTCGAAGAAGTTTCTGAGGGCTTATGATCAAGAAAAATCACAGATCTTCCTGGGTCTGAGTAAGAACAATCTTCGGATTGTCACGGGGTTTTAACAGGACACTGTCTCCTCAATGAACACCTCAGTAGATTGAAACTAAGAAGAAACGGCGAATGCAGATTCTGTGGGGAAGATGGTGAAACACCAGTACACCTCATCACTGAGTGCGCGAGACGACAACCATTCGTGCCATGAATTTTGGTACGACTGATATTGGAGATGGAGAACTACCCTCTATAAAACCGTCCCAGATACTGGCTTTTGTCAAAGCCCTGGGACTGTATTATGAGTTATGATTCAAGAAAGGGGGACACAATGGATCTGTAAGGTCGAAGTGATTAACCCCCCTCCCACTCATTCTAAATTCTAAAAAAATTCTAAATTCTACATCGATATATATTACCGATAGTTTATCCACTCCCTCGTTTATTTAGATTATAGAGGGCGGCACAAGCTAGACTCTAGGATGACTAAATTAGACAATCTTGCGACTAGTATACTACCTGTTAAGGCCGAACTGCGACTTTAGTAGTCCAGTATGCGACTACTCGAACTACTCCATCTTAATCTCCAAAACAACAAAGTGAAAGCCGCCATGTTGTTAAATAAGAAAATGTTTCGTTCCTAAAATTTTTGAATACATTAACTTGAAATGTTTGACCCTAAAAAAAACGCGGAAACAATTTTTTCGACTGCGAATAAATTATTCTCATTTTACTAAAAAAAATTCAAGAAAATTTTTAAAACTTCTTTAATTTTAAGACCCATGAGTATTTTTCTAAGTAGAATCAATACATTTATCAATAAATTTGTTTGCGTTTAACTTTTTTGCCTTGGGTAACAAGTTACAGAGTCGGTTAAAGTGTTTCAATAATTATGATCTTCAAACATCCTCCACACTTAAATACTTTTGTTTTGTTTTCCTTCACTGCCATCTGACATATGTTTCTAACTAAATCATAAAAATAATATGTTTACTATAATTATCCCAAATTAGGATAAAACGCGACTTAACGCCATATTAGTTTTGTATTTCTGTGAATTAGGATTTTAAACAACGTTGCAGTTTGTACTAAATTAGGCTTCTAGCCAACGTCGGTATCCAACGTCGTTTCGACCCAAAAATTATTCTCCAAACTAGTGCAGACTAGGGTTGGCACGAGGTTGTCCCGACGTTGCGCCCCGACGTTTGGTCGCGTGACACAACGTTGTCCCGACGTCCAAATGCTGCTTGGGTAGTAAAATGGTATAATACTATGCTTATTTTAGCATAAATGGAAGTTATATACTGTATGATCTGAAAAAATGGATCAATTAGGCTTGTATATGACGAGAGAGATTGGTGACATTCCCTATATATTACATATAAAATAACAGCGATTTTTAATTTCGAGCCTACTCTGACCGCCCTTTAGTACCCTGCTGGTCATCGAATTTATGTGGTCTGGATTTTAATGAGTGTGAGTAGTGTGACGGAGAATAATATAAATGACCGGTTGAGAGACAGAGAGACAAAATCAAAAGCGACATACAGTGTTGCCGGTTTTTTACGTTTGTAGGAAAATGTGTGTAGAAAAATATAAGCTATTTTAAAAACTTTCAAGTATACTACTGAAAATCGAAACTAAATATAATCTATTACAGCTGTAGTAAAATGAGTAACTAATAGTGAAAAATAAAGTTCATCCAACCCTAAAAGCGACATTTTTCGTAAACGCCTACTTGTACGGTTTGAAATTTTGATGCAAAATCCGGCAATACCGCTTAGATGAAATGTGTCGACCCAATTTTTATCTCTTTTTAATACATTTGATTTTCCATTAAGCTGTCTACATCACTGTCTTTACATATTAAAATCCAAACCGCACAGTTTCGATGACCAAATCGGTATATATTTTGAAATACTCATGTTAAGTATAAAATAGCCCATTTTGCCAAATGTTGATTATTGAGGTAAGCTTAAATTGCCGATATAGATTTTTTCTCAGCTATATCTTCATCTTATAGATCGATGATTTTCAGTAGTCAGATTTCTGGTTTGAATTTTTTTTATTACCGTCCATACGTTCTTAAATTTGCTACAGTGCATATTGCAAATATATAAAATACTAAACTGAGTATCTATAGTGTTTAGGAGTGCAAACAATACATCAATATCTCAATATTACGCCAGGGCGTTAGCAAAAATAGGGGAAGTTTTGCAATCAAGCTGATTTATTCACAGATGATAATACTCATTAATAGTACTCTGTAAAAAAAGTTACACCTCCTAGAGCGCTTGCTTCCTCCGCCATGTTGAATTAAAGATGGCGTCTGATCCTATTCTTTAAAAAAATCGTAACTTTCTTATTTATAAACCGATTTTCGTCAAGTAAAAATTATTATCTTTGTTTTGGACTACAGAATGAAATAAAAATATAAAACTATTTTGACAGATTGTTTTTCTGTCAAAAATAAAAAAAGGAAAAATATTAAAAGAAATCGACTTGCTTTTCTTCAATTTTTTTTGAACTGTACTTCGTAGCAAAAAAGGTTAAAGAATATGCGCTTTTTTGTTGTGATTTTGAAAGAATCCTTGAGTTTGTGATAGGTTAAGTAGTGCGGGAGATATATACTCTGTTTTTTTTCTCAGGTAAGATTTCGACAGACGATGACAGAAAAAAAGCAGATGACTTCCATACCAATCCATTTATTTCACAAAAAAAGTTTCTAATATTTTTTAAGGTATCTATGGACGGTTAATAAGTAAATACGTCATGCGTCGTCTCTTGTTGTTTTTAACCAGTTTTATTGGTTTATTTCAAAAACGACAGATCATATTTCAATATTATTGGTTTGACGCAACGATGAACGACAAACGGACTCCGATGCGTATGAACTCGACTTAAGATTTTTGAGAGTTGTCAAACTCTTGCCAAATTATAGGTTATAATTTTGTGTCAAATAGAAATGATAAATATTTTGCATTTTGGACTGTGTTGTTACTTGTATTTCGTGTTTTTTAAAATTAAGTGGAGGAAAACTTGAGGGAAAATTAAGTATTGACCCAGACAATAGTTTACAGTTAATATTCGGTGCCCAGTGACCGCCAAAAAAACAGTTTGCTGGGAAAAGCTCATTGCCACTGGCAAACCACCCCCACTCAAGTGGATCTAACTCGTTTCCTCTCCAGCTTTGTACCTGTAAATATACTCTAAAAACGTGTTGATTACTGGAGGCTTCTGTAGGAGGAAGATTTGCCAAATCAAAATTAGATCCCAAACAAAAATTTAATATAAGTTTTTGCCCAACTTCACTTAAAGTAGCGTTATTCATATTCGCTGCATTGAAACTTTTTATCAAATCAAACATTTCAGGACTGTTTTTTTAACACGTCAAATATTCTTTTTTTTTACCCATTTTATATGGGTACGAAGTAGTGCCGCATCCTGTAAATGCATGAATGCATAGAAGATTTTCGCGAATTTGTTCCGAGATCAAGCTTTGTATTTTAAAAATATTTAAAAATTTATCAAGAGCTTTACTCGTGCTGGGTGCCCAAACATATAGCTGGTTGTTAGACTTTTTTGCTAAGGAAAGTAACATTACAGATTAGGTATCCTATAAGTATACAGATAAAAATCTTGTCCCTAATTCGTGGTACGAAAATTGTTTTTTATGACGATGAGCAAGCGAGTAAATTTTCTTCTGCGCAAAAATAAACTCCCGTTTAAACAGCGTAATAACTGGGCCGGTCACAAGGCCGGTCAGGCGCTGTGCACAATTTTAGAGGCAATAAGTGGGCGTGCTTATTGCCTCAATAAGTGAAAGGCACACAGGGCGACATCGCATTACTACCCCTCAGCAAGATCATTTTTTACAATTAAATGCTCGACGCCGACCGACTCTTACAGCACCAGAGCTTAGTTTAATTCTCCAGGAAACACATAATGTAACCTTTAGTCCTGACATTGTTCGCTATAGATTAAGATAGGTCAACTTAAGAAGCAGACGCCCCTGGAGAGCTCAACCCTTAACGAGAGGAAATCGAGAGGTACGATATTTGTGGACTCAAGATCATGTTCAGTGGTTGAATGAACAATGGGCCAATGTTCTCTTCACGCTTGGCATTCATCCGGATTCGAGAAGGCTTAGGGTATGGAGAGAACCAGGAAATCTTATTCGGCTGGATCATGTTCAGGAAGTGCACCCTTATCAAGGTGGAACAGTTATGGTGTGGGGAGAAGTCCAGTTAGGCCGTTAGGCCGATCTCG